CCCAAAATGTTGTGATCTTTATTCACTTTGTTTGGCTAAAGCATGCGAATAGATTAAAAAGGTGGGTGCTAAATAAATGTAAAACAATATTTGCGGTTTATTCTGAGCCGTACGGTCTCGATGTTTTCCTACGCTATGTGTAATGAGCTATGCGGTTTGTGGTTTTAGTACAAAATCATTTAATCTGATAATTTCGATACGCCATTCAACACATTATCCGTAAAGTATCCTGATGACACACAAGGCTCAACATGCATATTCTGCATGAAATCATGGTTCAATTCTAGTGATGACATTAAGTCTAACTCTAGAATATATTTTGTGTCCTTAAAGGAATTTACCAAGTAAGCCATGACTTTTAGAGTGTATCGGGAACGTTCACACATATACGATTTTATGTCGACTGAACTGGAAGTTTACAAATCCTTTGGAGATTTGAAATTTATTATAGATGTATATTTAAAAATATATGAAATCTTTAAACGGGTTTTGGTAAATACAAATCTTCATTTCTTTATTATTGCATAATGTCAAAAATCTATCTTTAGAACTGAAAAAAGAAAGATCCGTTCCAAGTATGATTTAAAATATTTTAGTAGCTTTGCAAGTAAACTATTTTTAATTTCGTCCAATGATAATAATTATACATCCAATGATAAAGAATAAAGGAATGTTTGAAACCCGTGAGGCATACATCTTGTCATGTTCAGTTAATACCTTTACCAGCAGAAAATCGTCTTAGACTTTTTAAGGAAATGCTGTATGTGCGCACGTGTGCACACACATACACACACACACACACACACATATATATATATATATATATATATATATATATATATATATATATATATATATATATATATATATATATATATATATATATATATATTTAAATCTATCCTATTCTTTACCTTGTTTTTTTGTACTCCATGTTTACCTTTATTTGGTAATGTTTTTTTCTCTTAAAAGAATATTTTGCAATTTATTTATTTTTACAGTTGTAGTTTTTAATCTCGAGCATATAGCCAGTATTGTGTATAGTGGCAAATACTGAGATAAAAAAAGGAATTGTTAAATTACACCTGGTTTCTAAACACTGCCTTGTAAGGAAACTCCTGATCCTTTCTTCGAATCACGATTTTGCTCAATGATGCATGTATTCGTTCTGGACATCTGAAATATGATTAACGTAGGTTTCGTTTCCTTAGACAGTGTGTACAGACTGACAGTAAAGACTGACAGAGGTAAAAAAAAGTTAATTGCATTTACAAATTAAACGAAACGTGTTCGTGCCTTGGTCATTGACACGACATCGGAATTAAAAAGAATATATCCTTTTGTGCGCGCATGTTATTGGAAATTACTTATTCCTTAATTTTGTCTACTTGTATAAAATGAAATGGAAAATTAGGAAAACCCTTGTTCTTTATGTAAAAACTAAAATGAACTTCAATATTTTTTGTTAAAATCATAAAGATCTGATTTACAGAATGATTAAATAGTTTGTATCGCTTCTTCAGCGAAGACGAAATTAAAAATGTTATTGAACGGATTACACTTTTCACACAGTAACAGCTAATGTACATTTAAAATTGGTAGTTATTAGAAGCTGATATTGATTGAAAAGTATTCCGAGTTCATTTAATAAACAAACGTGAAACAAAGCGGCTTCAAGAAGACCTCTGGCAGGTACATCTATCTATCTATCTATCTATCTATCTATCTATCTATCTATCTATCTATCTATCTATCGATCGATCGATCGATCGATCGTCCATCCATCCATCTAGCTATCAAAATGTATGCAATGATCACTAAATATACATCATAACATATGTAAGTATATAGTATAAATATTTCCCATTTGTTTTCAGGTTCGCGTTCACACAAAAATCGGAATACTTCAAGTTTGTGCCGATCTCTGGGGAAATATTTGGATGCGATGATCACAACTGAGGCATAAATTGCATGTGTCTAAACATTTCAATCAAATATATTCTGATGGAATACTAAATTATGCAGTAGTGGAAGAGCATGCATCCCACGAGCAGTTCGTTTTACTAGCTCTACTTCTTCTTAGTAATTTATTCTGCATACGGATCAACGATTTATGACAGTTTCAATTCAGGATAAAAGAACTTAACATAATTAAAGAGAACAATTCTTATGAGACTTTTGTTTGGTAATTCAATTACACATTACAAGCAGTACTGTTGAGTAAATTGCTTCAAAACATATACCATATTTGGGAAGTAGAGACCTTTAATGCAGATAGAAACTCAAGTTAAGGCAGTACCCATTCTTCTTTTGATAAACTTAAGTTTCCAGCTTATAAAAACCTGCATCCAGTTTGCATCATAGTACCATTCTCATGTTATTCCAGTATTCCAGCAATTAAAACAATATTTTTATCTTGATCCAAACCGATGTAGCGTTTGGATTTTATTCTCTTCTTCAAAAGAGACACGTGGAGAATTACAGTCTAAATATTTCTTCAGTAATCTAAAGTTAATAAAGCATGGAGGATGGACGCCAATGAGTGGACAACGCTTTTCCCCAACAGCAGTATTTTCGGGAAGTATTTTAACTATTTGACAACGGAAGCTTTGACACGGAATATCATAGCAATCGGCCGCCATTGTCTGCCCTCGGACTCTCTCTATCCTGGAGCTGAACTGCAGGATAATGATATCCCAGTAGGTCCACTTACGACTTTCGTTGAAAGTATTCCAGTTATAACAGCTGATTACGGTAAAGCAATTTCAACCGTAAATGATCAAATGTCGAAGACCGGAAGTGTTCTAATAGGTGTTTTGTTATTCTTCTTTGTGATTCTGACGATAATTGGAAACGTCCTTGTCCTTTTGGCAGTATTTTTTCACGCGAAATTGAGAACGGTTTCAAATATGTTCATTGTGTCACTGAGTATTGCAGATCTTTTAGTAGGGATAGTAGTAATGGTGCCCGCCACATTGAATGAAATATTCAGAGAGTGGATACTTCTTAAAGCTTTCTGTTCTGTGTGGGTAGCATTTGATGTCATGCTCTGCAGCGCCTCCATCCTGAATGTGTGTTTGATAAGTTTGGACCGCTATGTCGCTATAATGTCTCCTCTACGATATCATCTTTTGATGACTCACAAACGAGCCTTAATCTTATTATCCGTTACATACACGATGTGTATCTTAGCATCGTTTGTACCAGTAGAGACGGGGTTACATAACCCTGCATTACCAAATTTGGAAAACCTGACTTTAATCAGTGACAAGCCGCAGTGTGTTTTTATTCCCAGCATTCCTTTCGTTGCGATAGTTTCTACAGTTACCATATTGCTTCCAATTGTTGTGGCTTTTGTTTTATATTATCGAGTCTCGAAAGAGGCAAAAAGACAAGCATGCTTCGCAGGAATACTCATCGTCCCGTCAAAGGTTCTGTTAGGAAAGAAGATGTCGACGAAACACGTTCGCGAGCCCTTCACAAGAAAAGCGACAATAACTCTCGGTATTATAGTAGGTGCTTATGTTGTTACTTGGGCACCATTTTTAGTGACGAACATGACCGATGCCGTTTGTCGTTGTGTTCCTGTTGAACTATTTAAAATCTTTGTGTGGCTTGGTTACTGCAATAGTCTTATTAATCCTGTTATATATCCACTCTTCATGAGGGATTTCAGAAAAGTATATGTTACGTTTCTTCAGAAACATTGTCCCTTCAAGAAAAGACTTAAAACGGTCAATAGCAGGAAAGTATTCTTCAAAGAAACGGGAATGACAATGACCTAAGTAATTTTACTATGAAATACTTTACCATAATAATACTACCGTTTTGTTGTGAAGAATTATTGTGATACAACGCAAATAGCACTAACATTATTTTTGTATTACACAAATGGTACTTAAATGTAATTATAAATAGTATGACTTAAATAAGATACATTTTATTCAAGAAACGAATTTATTATGGTTATCCAGTAATAAAATCATTAATGTCGAAACAACAAATATTATATGTGTGTGTACTGCAATATCATTAATTATCCAGTTATAAATAAGAAGTATGAAACAAACCCTATCATCAAAGTCTAGCATACATTAATAAGAAAGATAATAAATTAAATTCTACCAAACGGCGATTTTGAATATCACTCAGTGTTATTACAAGTACGTTTTTCATTACAAAACTCATAAGCTCATTGTAGACCAAAAGTAAAGATCAAAAGTTATGCACAAAAAACGCTGAAAACATTCAAAACGTGGCTATTGGGAGATTTAAATTTAATCAGGTCATCCATATATGTCCTAAATGGTTCCAAACAAAACAAAAACAAAATTAATTAAAGGGGAGACAACTAAATTATTTTTGAAGTAGCCTGAAAATCCAGCAACATCATCTGCTTACTCATAGAAGGAATCCTACATTCTCTATCACGAACATGCTGAATACTTCGGTCTTTTTCGCAGTGTCTGTATGTGTCAACCAAACGTAGCTATTTGTCGAAGCATCTGAATAAATAAGAGCCCCTACCCGCACGCCACCGACAAGAACACCTGTCCAGGTAAAAAGCTACTCCATTGACCTTGGTGCCCTACATCGCTTCAGCTGGCTTTTACTTGTCTGTATGGATCTGATTTCTTCAAACACATCGATTGGTTGTTTAGATCGTTTGAGATTTAAAGTTAACACAGAAATATCTGAAATGATCTAAATATCCATGTCATACCAAATAGCTACTGGCGCTCATAAAGAATGCATTTTACAGCTTAAAGATGTGAATCTGGGCGATATTAGAAGTGGGGGGAGTAGGTGGTGGGTGGTATGGGGGGAGGAGAATATCGGTCAAAGTATTTTGAGCCACGTGTCAATTGCCATAGCTGGTCCAGACATTTTCATTGAGAAACAAATGAGCTGGTTTCGATTTTCTACAGAGAGAGCTATACTGTGCGTATTTCTTCCCATTCCCCTTTACTTTTGTACCAAGTTTGTTTACATTATAATCGGCTTCAGTGACGCAATGGTTAGTGTGTTGGATTAGCCATCAAAACGGCGATGGTTCGAATCCTACCTTAGGGTCAGCTCGAGTTAGCCAGCTATCGTGGTAAATCCCTGCATCCACTTAAAAAGACTCTGAAAGATATAACCCTAATGTGTTGTTGTTCCGTGAGGCAACCAAATCAACCAAATCTTTACCCACATAAAACATTCCTTACATGTATTTTAGCTTGTGTTATTATTGAGAAAAGATTTGTTGTTAGAACATAAAAGGGCATGAAAAGTTAAATTCAGGTCAGCTAGTCGCAAATCGCTCGTCCATTCCATATCCACTAAGGGCGTATTGTAGTTTCAGGTGTTGAACCTGAAAACAGTGATGGCTGACGAGGGATAGCTTTTGTTTTCAAATTTCAAATTTGATTTCCAACGCCATAAAAGGGCTAATTATATCAAACAACATTTACCAAAGTAATTATCTCTCTTCCAAATAACAAAAAAGTGTTTTAATTCTTTCGAAAGCTATGGTTTCATCATCTTCTCTAGATGAAAAACGTGCTAAATCTGTTAAATTAGTTCCTTTCCTGTTTGTTCTTCCACACATCGTGTATCCTTGTACAAAAAAAATAAACTCGGTCAAATTTGTAAAATGCTTTGTATGCCATATATTTAGATAGAAGATATAAATGATATACTCGTTCTCGATTTCTATTTTTGCTTGAGTTGAAAATATAACTTTCTTTAATTTTAGTCATACAAGTTCGACATTTTATTTTTAAGCATTTTAACTATTGCAGATACCAAGGTAATGTACTGACATATTAAGTCTGAATATGACCCCTGGTGGTATTGATCGCCCCTATATTGTCCTGATTCAAATACAAGCAAAATAATTAGGCAGAGCATTGGGAATATTGTTTCTAGTCTAGACATATATAAATAAATGTTTACGTTAATTTCAATAAACAAGTTATATTCAGTTCTGACCTAGGTCATCACTCTTTTATCGACATGCATTTACATATCTGTGCAATATTTTAATTTTACTTAAAATAAATTTTGAAAATATTGTCTTTTGAACGTAAATTAAAATCTAATTATCTGGGTATTTATCAAACTTTTTGCCTCATTATCTCTGTCTTGCAAGCTATCTATGTATGTAGTGCCGTCTTAAGGCATGGGTACATTGTGCAGTTGCACAGGGCCTCACTCTTCTAGGGGAATCATGCTGCCCATATTGTTAATGAATAATAGGGCCGGTAGAGGGCCCCAGTGCATTGATTTGCCCAGAGTCTACAATGTTGTTAAGACGTCACTGTATGTATATAGGTTGGTGGGTAGCTAAGGCATTATATCTTTCATCATTTCTTCCTTTTTTTGATCTATATGTCAATCTATCCAAAATTAAATGATAATAGATACACTTAATGATTTGTTATTTTTGTCATTGTACTCCGCAGGCAAAACCGAATATGGTTTATAAATTTCGCGAAAAGTTTTACAGAAGCATAGTTACGGTATTGTGTAAATGAAAATAACTTTCATGCACACAATACGTTTAAAGAATTTGTTAAATCTCAAAATCTCAACATTGCAAATGTATGGATACAAATAGCTAGTGTACTGCATTTTTATTTTATACAAGTAGAACTTTATGAAAAATTAACACAATCCGATAACAGTGGAAACTGAAATCAAAATTATTAAAAAGCAGACATATTGAAAATAAATAACAAAATGAATGGCATTTAGCAGATGTTCGGCCTCGACAATAAAAACATACTAGCAAATTTTCCATGCTAGCCAACTTTCCATGCTAGCCAACTTTCCATACTAGCCAACTTTCCATGCTAGCCAACTTTCCAAGCTAGCCAACTTTTGTTAATTTCAATACTACCTAAAGCTGTCGGTTAGCTGTAATTAAAATCGAGAGCTCAGCAGAGCTTTTTAGCGTTTATTATTTGTTAGAATTATTTTTGGATGTACCGAAATTAAATATTTTTTGGTTGGTCATCACAGACTAACATCATATGAGGAATCCCCTATTGCCTAAACATAAGTTTTATGTCTAGTTGTTTTCTGCATGTGAACGTGTTTGTGGTGTTTGAAAGAGAGTGGAAGGGGGAAACACGGTCGGACATAAAACTGATTAAACAAATAATTGTATTGTATTTAAAATTCAAGAGATATTCAAGATTGAATCGAACAATGTTATATAAAGTGTGGACTAAATATTCGGGAAAATCTTTTTATCAATATTGCTGCGTTTTAAAAAAAATTATAAAAAAAAGTTTTAGAAGAAATATTTAAAGTTCTATTGCAAACTGGTTCAGACAGGCCGCTACAATTATATTTTATTAAAAACGTCTCACCAAAGCATCCACTATTTTTTTTAGTGCAGTGAAAACAAAAATGAGTATTCTATTAGGACCGCAAGAAAGATTTTGCATTGACGTAAAAGTTGCTTCAACAACTATGAATGTCATTTGAAATTTGGTCGTAGCCGTTTGGATGTCAATTAACAGTGGCAGCTTGATTGTAGCATTATTAATATTGCAATTCATGTTGGAAATGGCTAAATCTAGCCGTAATAGTCGACAGGTGCGTGTGGTGTAAGTGAACAAATTGTCCGAAGTGGTGAATATTTAATTATTTCTTGCAATTTTAAGACGCTATTGATATATTGATCCAGAGTACGAAATGAAAGATAAATATTTGATCTCGTTAACTAGTTTTAGATATTCCAACTTAAGCGATCGAATTGTCGGGAGAAGGTAACCTTATATTCTTCATTGTGGAGCGAGTACAGTCAAAAACTTTCAAAGCTAAACACATTTAAGAGAAAAAATACAACAAAAGATTTGTTTGCGTGCAACGTACGTACAACTGCAAACGGCACAGAAGATGTTCATAGTTTCAATAAACAACTCCACTTTACTACATTTGGTTCCCTGTTTCCATGTTATTTGATGTGAAGTTCTTTCTGTATCAACTCCTTACACCTTAATAATAACAACAAAAGCCCACTCAGCCACTCATGTGATTTCCAATCAAAATTTACAAACCACAAATCAAAATGGACCATTATAAGTTAAAATAATGTAATTCCACAGACCTTTCTACACTCCACCACTGATCCCTTTTGCCGAAGAATGCTTTGGTAGGCTTTACAAGCCAATCTTCCAAAATTATTGCGTTGCACCTCGTAGCATATTACAGCGCAGTTATTAAAGGTCAGGGTCATATCTTATGCAAGGGATGTCACTAAATATGGACACGATTTTGCTGTTGAAAGATCGAAATGGTAGAAAGTGAAAAGAACGATACTATAACAACAGGCGTATTTTTTTAGAAAAAAATAATATCCTGGTTTAATCGCAACAACAAAATTTTATATATTAAAATAATGATCAAACCAATATATTTCTGGCATGATCCGCTATGACATTCTACCCATATTACCGTAAAAAGGAAGATCGGGTTATGTACTCCATCGCAGTTAAGAGGCGAATGAAAGAAAACTTAAATTTGCATAAAAATGAATGTATTGTTGAATAAATATATCGATTTGATATTAACATAAAAACCTTCGATAATTATTTACTTTGTGAGTGACTAGGTAAAATTTACACATCGATAAATACCCAGCCATGATCATTGAATCCTATATTGCTTAACTGATTATAAAATAATTTTATTTTATCCGAGAAAGTAGAAAATTTCCTTAATTTTGGAGAATTCCTCAGCTTGTTATGGAAGAAAAAAGATCATCGTCATGTGTACCGTTAACGAAGTTATTTTTACAGTTTTCAGCTATTTTGATTTTTCAGCTACATTCTTCTCCTAAGTTTCAAATATACCACAACAATTCCGAAAATCTAATTTTAGGGAAAATGCTGACATATTTAATGAAACTGGGTCCCGATCTACTATCTTATGGTGCGTACGCAGATCTAAATTTGCTTTGCTTAGGATATCCCTTGAGGTTCAAAGAAAATAAACATTAGGACGCCATTGTCGTCAGATTATGCCCATAGGTTTAACTAATCTCACGAGACTGTTTGGCTTCAGACGTAACATTGTAATGATAATGGTCTGTTTGACCTCTAATACTAAACTAAAAACTGTTGTTATAAAATTGTATTTGGTCTTAAATATGGTTTTGGACCCTAATAGGAATTAATATAGGAATAGTTCTCTAAGGCTGCTGGAGGTTTTAACATGGGAATGGTACTATGAAGTATAAGGGGAATTTAACAAAGGAATGGTACTATGAAGCATAAGGGGAATTTAACATGAGAATGGTACTATGAGGCATAAGTGGAATTTAACATGAGAATAGTACTATGAAGTATAAGGGGAATTTAACAAAGGAATGGTACTATTAGGCATAAGGGGAATTTAACATGAGAATAGTACTATGAGGCATAAGTGGAATTTAACAAAGGAATGGTACTATTAGGCATAAGGGGAATTTAACATGAGAATAGTACTATGAGGCATAAGTGGAATTTAACAAAGGAATGATACTATGAGGCATAAGTGGAATTTAACATGAGAATGGTACTATGAGGCAAAAGGGGAATTTGACATGAGAATGGTACTATGAGGCAAAAGGGGAATTTGACATGAGAATGGTACTATGAGGCATAAGGGGAATTTAACAAAGGAATCGTACTATTAGGCATAAGGGGAATTTAACATGAGAATGGTACTATGAGGCATAAGTGGAATTTAACATGAGAATGGTACTATGAGGCATAAGTGGAATTTAACATGAGAATGATACTATGAGGCAAAAGGGGAATTTAACATGAGAATGGTACTATGAGACAAAAAGGGAATTTAACATGAGAATGGTACTATGAGGCATAAGTGGATTTTAACATGAGAATGGTATTATGAGGCAAAAGTGGAATTTAACATGAGAATGGTACTATGAGGCAAAAGGGGAATTTAACATGAGAATGGTACTATGAGGCATAAGGGGAATTTGACATGAGAATGGTACTATGAGGCAAAAGGGCAATTTAACATAAGACTGGTACTATAAGGCAAAAGGGGAATTTAACATGAGAATGGTACT